GGGTCATACGTATAAAATAAGTATTATAAAATAAAAAGAAATGGTCGAATTTTATTTCGACAGAACTCCCAGTTAGTTTGTAGCATATATTTTCTTATTCAAAATAGTTGTAGTTGTACACTTACCTAACAATTTTAAGTTTCCAGAGTTGATAATCCACTGTTCACATCTATCCGTATCTTTTATGGGAAATGAAAAAAAACGAAAATTGCTTCGTTTCCTTGAAATATTGCAACCGAAATAATTGCAACGCGTATACGACATGATTTTAACAATTTAACGCTGCGAAACTTCGGAAGAAAATGATGAGAAAAGAAAGACGTTATTGCCCCACTTATTGAAATTTGAAAAATGAAATCTCAAAACCCGGTTTTTAATATGTACGTACCGACCTACCATAACATTACTACGACAGGGGTTGTACCGATTTGTCAGTACAATTCCAAAGTACCTGTGGGTACAGGTATAAGGAGAATTTGTTAATCCTATTAAGTTTATTACTAGGAAAGGGTGGCGGGGAAGACACAAAATAATGCTGTTTACAAAGATATTGCTGGCACATCTTCAAGAAAGACATTGCCGACAAATTTTCAAAAGAAGATTTTACCCACAAATTTCCAAGAAAGGTATTCATTCATAAAACTGCAAAACAGCAGTTCTCAAAATTGTGTTTTGTTATGTGTACAGTACCGTTACGATCCTTTAAATTATAGATTCTAGTTTCAGTTAATTTATTAATTTTAATGAAACCCTGATTTCTATTAAAATATTTTAATAAAAACATACAATTAGACCAAGACGTAACGGTGTACGTATTTTAAGTATTGCTCAAACTTTATATTGCTATAGACCAATTTAAAAATGAAAAAAATGACTGGATACGTTATGTTATTTTTTAACACTTATCAAAAATTGTAATCGCTAATTCCACCTAGAAGTTTTAATATTTTGTCTGATAATTAGACAGCGGATTTCTGTCTACGTCACGATTATAGGTAGGGACGCGTAAATCGCTGCTAATCAGTAGCGGGTGATGATCACTGCATTTAATCTTCACTTATCCTATAAATACAATGAATGAAAACTTTATTCCTAAAACAGCTAAGTAAATGAGAACGGGAATTAACAGCAAAGTACAACGAAGCACGGATATTCTATTTTGTACCTGCACTGAATTCCCATCCCGCACGAGCCGTACCGAGTTTGGCCTTGCCAGGCCGGACAGAAATCCGCTCTTTGCTGATAATAATGCGGTAATGGAATACTTAAATGGAAATGATTGGCGAAATGTGTTTGTCGAATTTTATGCAGACCATATGCATTTAAAAAACCCCTTCACAGTTAAAACGCCGTGTTAAGTTAAACATTTGCGAAGCAAGTAGATATGCAGATTGTATTGTTTAAAGTTGTGTTATATATGTTAACAATTACATTTTTAATTCGTCAATTAATAATAAAGTTATACTAGTTTGAAACTTATGGAGAGATTTTGTTCCCACATCCTTATTTGATTCGAGTCGCAAAGTGTCGGTAATTTTCCGCGCCGTCCGACTCGTTAAATTTCAAACTAAAACGGCTGCAACAGTGATTCTCTTACAGTAGTTGTGCTGTACGAGTTCAGACAACAACCCGTGAAATGGTATTAGTAACAACCATTGAAGGTTAGAGGGCTTTTGTCGCTTTTTGTGGCGCCCTCTAACCGCGAATATTCTTTCAGTGGTACGCATAGGGATACGGGGTTGCCGGTCTTTTAAATACATAGTCACTGCTGAAAGTTAAATTTTCTTTGTGAGTAACATTGGGTGCCACTATGCTAATACCTTCTCGCAGGTAATCACACAGAGAATGTTAAGTCCTCTAAGGTCTTGCAGAGACAATTACTTATGCACTTAAAGAAGTAGATGATATAAAGTTAAGATAAGTTTTCTGCCTATTCTAATAAAGAAGGCGCCAATATTGCATTACCCCTTTTAAATGTCTGAGACGTCGGTGAGTACCTTTTTCCAGATGATTTAACTAAGCCGACAATGTACATTGTTCCGTACATTTAAATATTTTTGAAGAAATAACTTTACATAGAAATGTTTCACTACCCAACCACTTAGTCAGATCCCCAAATGATGGCACAGTGACTGTAAGTCCTGTCGCGACTTGCAAAGACGGAAATATTTGATGTCAAGCAATGATAAGACAACCTTTCAGTCTAGAGTAATTGAAAATAGGCGCCGGAGTGCATTACCGCAAATCTGCGATGGGCAAGTCGACGTTTTTGGCATCTTCATTTTTTCAGACGATTTAACTAATTCGCCAGTTATTTCGGATACAGATTTCCGTGTATTGTGTCATGGGTAAACGGCGCATGTACCATTTAGCTCTCGATAAATGCCAATAGGGTTTATCTGATTCCTACCACTTTTTTACCCCACCCTCATTGGTTTTTTCTATATATTACCTTGTTTGCCTATTGTAGAATTATATTTTTTTAGTTTTGACAAAATTGTGTCTGCCGCTACGGTTTGTGATAGTGAACGTTAATTTGTGATAGTTGTGATTGTGTCAACGCAAAATGAATACAGGATTTGAAGAATTTTTGCAAACCCTGCAGATTGTTCAAATATTTACGATGTTCGCGAGTGATTTTTTTGAAAATTTGAAAATTCTGCGAACTGTGAGGGATCATATAAATAATCGAATTATATATAAGGATGCGGTTTTGAACAACAACGATCGAAAGTCATATGGTCTTTTGTTAGGAAGAATAAGACAATTGGTAAGTTGATAATAGCTGATATCCTAAATTAATTAATTAATGGATTTAAAAAAAAATTCTAAATAATATTATTATTTTTTAACAGAAATTTTCGAAGCCAAGAAGGACGGGTGCATCAATAATGTCGAGATTCAACAGAAGAATAACTTGGAAAACCAATTTCGCTCATTTATAGAACATGAATCTCGCATTGCTAGTGCCCATCAATCTTCATCTGATGCTATTTGGTCCAGCGATAAGGCTGTCGTGAATGCAACTTTTTCGAACAATAGCACCAGTAATAATAACTCATACAAAATGCAATCAACTGATGTCGATGAAGAAGAAGCTAGCGTAGTAAATGTATCGACATCGACATGGTCAAAAGGTATGTTGAAAATGAACATTTATTCATAACAGCTAATAATACGGAAGGTGACGAAAGTGAAACATCAGATGTTCAAAGAGGTGCATAGGAAAGAAGCGATACAGGTAATAGAATATAATAATATTAATAAATAAGTGATCATTAATAATAATAATAATTATTTCGCAGTAAACGGAGATCACAAATATTTCAATGAAAAAGGCGAGTGTGAGGCGTTCATAAGTAAATTTGGGCTAACGGCAAGACGGATGGAATTTTCGTTTAAAGATGTGAACGATGACGAGATACCACAAAATTGGTTGAAGGTATTTTATACAAAAAAAAAAATAAATAAATAAATATTAAAATTTACGTTTGTTTCAGAAAGCGTTTCAAGAGTTACTTGATTACGTTACCCGTGGATTTCAACCCACCAGCATGATTGGAGTGGTGATCGAAAATGAAGAATTTCCGGACAAACCTGCCGGAATTTCTTTTCGAAGACTATCACAGCTGAACGCGGACGTGGTGATGGACATCATTAGCGCTATCATTCAAAGCAACGCTAGCTTTTTCGCTAACGATAAGATGACTATCCGCATAGATGTGATTGATATGCCACTAGGTAGAGGATTTTCCGCACTAGATGGTAAGTGCGTGAATTTTAAAGAATTTTGTATCGCCAAAAACAGCATTTTTGTTGTGGATGTGAACAATTCTTGCCTAGCGGCATCTCTAATTGTTGCTATTGAGTATACGGCTAACGGTTGCAATAGGAAGGTGCTACAGAAATTTAAAACAAAAAAGGGTAAAATAGATTTGTTAAATCTAGCTCAGGCACTTTGTCAAAGAGTAAATGTCGATATAACACATGGTGGCGGACACGCTGAAATTCAGTGGTTTCAAAACTACTTTAAAGAAGATTATATAATAGTTGTTTATAATAAACGCGACAGAACGTCGGTTTATTTTAAAGGGGATTATAATATCAACAAGCCGAGGATTAACCTTTTATTGGAAGATCAACATTATAATGTAATTTTAAGTTTGACTGGTGCATTCGCAACGCGATTTTTCTGCGAATATTGTCTGACGAAGTATTCGCAACAAGAACGCCATAAAAATTGTCCGTTTAAATGCCCATGTTGCCTAACGTCTCCTTCATGTAACGACGACCCAAATGTAATAAGTTGTAATATGTGTAACAGGTTTTTTAAAGGGGAGATTTGTTTAAATAAACATTAAAAAACCAAGACTTGCGATCGTATAAAGCGTTGTAGTACTTGTCATGCGGAGATTACACCAAAAAACAAAAAAAAGAGTACTCACAAGTACTGAGGAATAGTCTTATGTACACTTACAACACTAAACAAATTCAACATCTGATGTCGGATGTTTGTGGAAAGTATTGTATATTGTTCCTTTTAAATTACGCCCTTGGTAATAATGTAGATCAATTTATAAATATGTTTAGCAGTAGTTACAAAAAAAAACGATGTTATTTGTGCAAAACTTTTAAACAGTATTTTAAATAAATTTTAGCCTTTCTCTAAAATTGTCTTTGATTTTATGCATCACACACACACCAAACACAAAGAAAACACGGGTTACGTGAGGCGCGGCGAGGAGGGCGGGCGGCGGGGCGCGGGTGCGGGCGCGGTCGGGGCGCGGACGGCGGGGGGCGCGGACGGCGGCGAAAAAAAAAAGTGTATGAATGAAAAACAATATTTATTTCACAATTTTTAGTAAATACATCAATTCGCAAATAACTACGTACAAATAAACATTCAAACTTAAATTTAACGGTACAAAAAAAGAAAAATGTATACACATATAATTAAAAAACATTATTCCAGGGATGTACATATTATTATTTCTAAAATACTAAAGCGCTCCTTTGTGCCCGTACGGGAGCGTATCGTATGAATTGCTTAACCTACGACGTTTAGTATAGTTTACTCTATACTTTTTTGTTGCGTCTTTCGTTAATATATTAAAAAAATTATCTTTAAAAATTTGTTTATCGATTACTTCGACCACGTTTGGAGCCTCTTTATCCAGAATCATCGATTTTAATACGTTAAAATTAACTTTTTGATTATTGGAGTAGTGTAGAGTTATACCCTTCACCTTACATACTGGCTCAATTATCCCTTTGTTAGCATTCAAGAATTCATAGGCGTAATTTTTAGGTCCGCCGCTCACAAATTCCGTAATGTAACTACCTCTACCATAATCAGCTAATTCGTCGGTTAGCTGGCCTAAAAAGTCGCCGGTATCAGGTACCCATTCGCCTGGTTTGGCAGTGAAGGAAACACTGTCAGTGTCGTAATATAATACTCGTCGTCCCAACTTTTCCAAAAAATGATAAAGAACTAAACGTGCCGAAGCAGTAGTATAACTAGCGATAGCTACATTAGTGGTGCTAGAAGCCAATATATCCTCCTCCACGCGCTCCCAATTTACTAGGAGTACTTCAGGATTGATAACGGTTAAGTTATTGACGCAACGACCGGGTGATGCAAACATTTCGAACAGCTTGTAAGGCTGATCAATGATAGCAGTCTGCTGCAGATTTTGTCTCTGCCTGAATTTGCCCCAAAATGAATTGAGCATTAATTTGGCCAAGAAACGTAACCCTGGATTCTTGCATATTTTGTTTTTTTCTAATTTAACCCCCTCACGATCGTAATACTCGCGAATGTAGTTGTCTTTCTCGTGTTCTGTATTACACCATGTAGGCCACCCGCTACACTCTTGCTTTATTTTTAAAAACGTGTTTGCGTACTCCGAAAACAACCCACCTGTTTTAGTTTCTGGGTCGTATTTTACGGTGTCGTATTCCCAGATTTCAAAAATTTCGATAATTCTGTAATTTAACTTCAAAGCCTTACGTAACTCGTCTGCAACGAAAGTACCCGTAAACTGACGCTGTCCGTCGTTGTGCGGGCAATCTTGTTCATACAAGGTTTCAACACACGTTTTGCAAAGAGGAAAAGTTAATTTACCATTACATTTGTACGGCAGAACAGGGTGATACAACGAAACAGGTGGTAAAACAATACATTTAATGAAACCATGGACTTTGTTTAGATCGACTTTTACGCAATCTGGATGGCCGACATGAATGGCTGTAGGATGACCGACAGGGTACCGACCGTACTTGTTTACGTACGGGTACAACGAGCAAACATCGAAATACAGTATTCTCTCACCTGGTTGACATTTGTAATATAACTGTGACGCGTTCGTACGACCACCGTAAAAACTGTCGCGCGGATTGAGGGGTGTGTTTTTTGAAAATAAATGATTATCTACAAACTGCTTTAGTTCCCGGTTTTCCGTTATTTGTTTACGAAAATCACACTCCCATAATACATTCAAATTATAGCCGTTATTTTTGATGCGTTCGTTTTTAAATATAGTTCGTTCATACCGCGTAACCATCAGCTCATTTCTGTCGGCCAATTCAGAATCAAAATCGGGAAAGCATCTAGGGCACCCATGCCAGAAGCATCCGGAAAATTCAAAAACGGTGTTTGTTTCGCTGCAAAATCCGTCGACCACGATATTTTCTCGCAAACGAACCTCTGGACCATTTCCAGCGTGCTTACTTCGGCATTGCAATGTATACTCTTGCCATAGTAGCCAAGCTACGGCTATCTTACTATGCCGATCCCTACCTCTATAACCCCCTGTAGGTATAATACCTATTGTGTTGGGTTTTAAAAAGTTTCTCCTAAATACGAGATTAAATGATGACGCAATAGTTATACACTCTAACAAAGGGTCTACATTGCAGCTCTCCGTAAAACATTCGCGAAATTTCAAGCATCCTCTCCTCAAAATATCAACATCGGATACACAATATTTTATTATCTCATTTTTCATGGTGAATACATAATTATCGGCAACTTGCCGACGATGCCACTCCATGAAATCTCTGCGTTCGTTCTTTTTCATGACATCACAACCGTAATACTCGACTGATGGTATGTCTCCGGTGTAATTTTGATTTTCTAACGTGTTGAAATAATGAGGAAAGTATCCTTTACCACCTTCTAATTTAAAAGTTTTAGGAAATGACGCCAGTGCTAGCTGAATAAAATTCAAACTGTCTATGAACCGTATCGAACCACCGCATGTTATCGATAATATTTTCATACCTTGCTTTATAACTTTTGGCTGCCAACGTGATATATTCGAAAAAATGTGTTGTAGTATAAAAGCTCCGTCGAAATTTTTCATGTTGTGTGCAATGGCTGTCACAGCGAAAATCTTTGACATTTTGGCAATGTGTTCCATGAGCTGTGATACAGGCTCATTATTAAAAATGTATTGGCGTTGACCACATACACCACAATTTTCGCTCATATCATCGTTCGACAAGCACTTTTTACATATTTGCTGCGTTACACATAGATTTGGTTCATGCAGAAACAATTTTTCACCAATTTTTTTCTCTTGTCTCGTTTCAAAATCAAAAAAAAATTAAAAGAAAATTATTATTTCTACCAAAATGTGCTTCATTGTTGTTACGCGTAACTTTGCAAGGGTGCATGTAGCAATCGTGCCTAATATCCTTATCCTCTTTGCATGTGTTACAATAGTTATTTACATTATAAATGCGGTAGGTTACATTTTACAACGCGAAGATTTAATATTGAAACACGAGGCAAAGCCGAGTGTTTTAATAAATCTGAGCATTGTAAAATGTAACCTACCGCATGTATAATGTATGCAACTTTTTGGCCGATAACTTAGTGGTGCTTGTTTTCGTCAATTTTTGCATTTTTTTAAATTGTGTGGAATTTGTAAGTAGGCTTTCCCTGCGTCAAACGTCAAATAAAATTATAATCGTGACAGATAGTTCGATATGACTGCTGCTTATGCCAACAGATGGCGCTCTCCAAAACCAATTAAAAAATCAATTGCTATTATTTTAAAACATTTAACAGATGCATTTATGCGGTATCTTATTTTGGTGAACACAGGCTTTGTTAATGATGACATGTCAATTTTTTTAAGGGTTTTAAAACTCTGAAAATTTCTGTGTTTATTACCGCACTTAATTTGGTAAATTACAGTTCAATGTGTAAAACTCAAAATACCACGGCTATCTACGATACGTAAATGTCAGTTTTACAGTTGTCGAGGCCAAAAAATTTTTTTCCACACTTGTGAGTACTCTTTTTTTTGTTTTTTGGTGTAATCTCCGCATGACAAGTACTACAACGCTTTATACGATCGCAAGTCTTGGTTTTTTTATGTTTATTTAAACAAATCTCCCCTTTAAAAAACCTGTTACACATATTACAACTTATTACATTTGGGTCGTCGTTACATGAAGGAGACGTTAGGCAACATGGGCATTTAAACGGACAATTTTTATGGCGTTCTTGTTGCGAATACTTCGTCAGACAATAGTCGGTCATCCTACAGCCATTCATGTCGGCCATCCAGATTGCGTAAAAGTCGATCTAAACAAAGTCCATGGTTTCATTAAATGTATTGTTTTACCACCTGTTTCGTTGCATCACCCTGTTCTGCCGTACAAATGTAATGGTAAATTAACTTTTCCTCTTTGCAAAACGTGTGTTGAAACCTTGTATGAACAAGATTGCCCGCACAACGACGGACAGCGTCAGTTTACGGGTACTTTCGTTGCAAACGAGTTGCGTAAGGCTTTGGAGTTAAAGTACAGAATTATCGAAATTTTTGAAATCTGGGAATACGACACCGTAAAATACGACCCAGAAACTAAAAGAGGTGGGTTGTTTTCGGAGTACGTAAACACGTTTTTAAAAATAAAGCAAGAGTGTAGCGGGTGGCCTACATGGTGTAATACAGAACACGAGAAAGACAACTACATTCGCGAGTATTACGATCGTGAGGGGGTTAAATTAGAAAAAAACAAAATATGCAAGAATCCAGGGTTACGTTTCTTGGCCAAATTAATGCTCAATTCATTTTGGGGCAAATTCGGGCAGAGACAAAATCTGCAGCAGACTGCTATCATTGATCAGCCTTACAAGCTGTTCGAAATGTTTGCATCACCCGGTCGTTGCGTCAATAACTTAACCGTTATCAACCCTGAAGTACTCCTAGTAAATTGGGAGCGCGTGGAGGAGGATATATTGGCTTCTAGCACCACTAATGTAGCTATCGCTAGTTATACTACTGCTTCGGCACGTTTAGTTCTTTATCATTTTTTGGAAAAGTTGGGACGACGAGTATTATCTTACGACACTGACAGTGTTTTCTTCACTGCCAAACCAGGCGAATGGGTACCTGATACCGGCGACTTTTTAGGCCAGCTAACCGACGAATTAGCTGATTATGGTCCAGGTAGTTACATTACCGAATTTGTGAGCGGCGGACCTAAAAATTACGCCTATGAATTCTTGAATGCTAACAAAGGGATAATTGAGCCAGTATGTAAGGTGAAGGGTATAACTCTACACTACTCCAATAATCAAAAAGTTAATTTTAACGTATTAAAATCGATGATTCTGGATAAAGAGGCTCCAAACGTGGTCGAAGTAATCGATAAACAAATTTTTAAAGATAATTTTTTTAATATATTAACGAAAGACGCAACAAAAAAGTATAGAGTAAACTATACTAAACGTCGTAGGTTAAGCAATTCATACGATACGCTCCCGTACGGGTACAAAGGAGCGCTTTAGTATTTTAGAAATAATAATATGTACATCCCTGGAATAATGTTTTTTAATTATATGTGTATACATTTTTCTTTTTTTGTACCGTTAAATTTAAGTTTGAATGTTTATTTGTACGTAGTTATTTGCGAAATGATGTATTTACTAAAAATTGTGAAATAAATATTGTTTTTCATTCATACACTTTTTTTTTCGCCGCCGTCTGCGCCCCCCGCCGTCCGCGCCCCCCGCCGTCCCCGCCCCGACCGCGCCCGCGCTCGCCGTCCGCGCCCCGCCGCCCGCCCTCCTCGCCGCGCCTCACGCAACCCGTGTTTTCTTTGTGTTTGGTGTATGTGATCCATAAAATCAAAGACAATTTTAGAGAAAGGCTAAAATTTATTTAAAATACTGTTTAAAAAGTTTTGCACAAATAACATCGTTTTTTTTTGTAACTACTGCTAAACATATTTATAAATTGATCTACATTATTACCAAGGGCGTAATTTAAAAGGAACAATATACAATACTTTCCACAAACATCCGACATCAGATGTTGAATTTGTTTAGTGTTGTAAGTGTACATAAGACTATTCCTCAGTATAAAATTTAAAATAGTCCCCTTAGGATTCCGTCCAAACGAATCAAAAAAATATGAATATCCGTATTTATCTATATAAATACCCACCCAGTGACTGCCTGGCATGAAGTCGGGATCTTCGTTCACAACGATGAATGATGGTTTGCTAACATAAAATGGAAGCGTATTGCTAGCAGAAACAAGAACATGACACCTCTTCAACTTCTGCATCTTCGACAGACAAGACTTGATTTGCATAGTATTCATTGTATATTTCTTTTAGGGTTTGTACGTTTTGTACAGCACAGTTAAAGTTGGTTAAATCACGATGATAGTCACAAACTTTTGGTTCGGGTAACTTTTTCACCGTTGGTATACAGTCAAGTTCGTCCTCTATGTTTACGATAACATTCTTCGGTAACAGTTTAGAAATATACCGTTTTTTCTCTAATCCTTTTACATAAACACAACAATCTATCTCCGACAATTTTGTTAAAATATTAGGTATTTCTTCATATGCGACGCCACCCGCACACCATGAAATACCGTGGCAGTGTTTTGTTACCCAATCTGCTTGCTTCTGATAACTATGCGGTAAAGTTGAAATGTCTTCGGGTGGTTTAAACAGGTAATGTTCTGGTTCTGATTTACGAAAATCAAGAATTGCCAATTCTTTAATGAAGAAACTCTTTCTTTCAATTTAATTTAATCAAGAAACAACACACACATTTTTCGATGCTAACAGGTCAACAGCTACACAACAAATAACCATACAGTCCTTCGACGGCACATTTTAACTTCCGTAGTCGATTATGATGTTACGCTTTTTGTCAATTTCTATAACGCTATCAAACTCGCCGTACACTAAACAGTTGATTGTCTCCGTTAAAGCAGTATTAAATCGTACTTCTAAACGTAAGCTACCGGTTTTAATCAGATTCCAATGTAAAGGTGACGCTCCAGATAGATCGGGTGTTAGGTCGTACACAGTGATACAGTAACCGTTGGGGTAGTCTTCTCTGCGAAGTCCGTTGCCCTCGTTCATAAAATGAATTCCGGTACCAGAAAATAACGTATGATACATGTTGATAAATTTCTTGCTATGTCCATTAAAGGTGGGTTGTAAAGGTTTGCTGGGTATTTGCTAACCGTCAACACATAACGATAAATAATGCATATCAAAATGTTGAAAGTTAAAGGGGTTTAGTGTAAAGTCCCCATTAAAAGCTCTATTGGAAACGAACGCTACAGTACATCGTTTAGGTAACTGCCCCAAGTAAATGTTGTCAAATGTTTTACTTTGGACCCCTTGCGGTATTGTTAAAACTTTTATTTCGGTTCTCGTTATAGGGTATTTGGCAGTTGTCATCTCCAAAGCTCTGGCATGAGCTAACATGACAGTTGGATTTATTTTATTACGTCTTACCAACAGTGTTGCATCCACAATATTCACTTTACCCGTAGTACCATCAGCTCCAATCAAAGCAAAACTGTTCCGAGACCTTACAAACTTTACACGTAGCTCGACACCGTTGATCAGAAATTTTTCTTGATTAAATATATCACAATTTAAGTGACCAATTAAATCAATTTGCTGACTTTTCTTTGTGAAATGATTCCTAGCTTTAAAGCCGATATTTTTTGTTCCATCGGCCGTGTCCATATCTCCTGGTGTATCGATGTACCATAATCCGCATGTTAAATGTGATTTTTTGGCTGCTGGTCCGTAATTTAGAAGTGTTTCTAAGTAACATTTATACGCATATGTATTGTTAGGCGGCGAAATTAGTTTTTGATTTAGGTAAACATCGACTTGACTAAACATAGAGTGTAAAATATTATTTACGGGCGCAATGTTAACGTCGTCGGGTAGGTTTGTACCATCCTCTTTAGTTATTTTCACAGTAACCGATAACCAATGTTTGGGATAAATCAGTATATTCATCGCCGCTGCTGATCATAAATTCTAAAGGTGCATCGTCTGAAATACTTGACAATGTTTTGTACTCGATCCATTGCCCACTCTCGATACTGGTTTGTGTTGAAGGTAAAGCAAATAAATCCAATTCTGTTTTAATGCACCCACAACTTCGCGGATGTAGAAAAGCCATTGCTCGTAATATTAAAAAAAATTAATCAATCAAAAATATCAGACGATCGCGACGACTTCTTTACTCTGCGGACTGGCAATCGCATCTGACGTGATTGTTTGCGGCGACGTCTTTTTGTAACACCTGAACCGACGAGATCGTCGATTTTTGTTTCTGCTTTGCGTTTCAAATTACCCACACTCTCTGATACACGTGAATTGAATGCCTCTTTCGGTGGTACGTTGTTTACAACGTCGTTGATGAAGTAAGATCCAGAACGAAGTGCTTCTTTACCAATAGTTTTCAAACCACTTTTTACTAACGGGAAAACTGTTCGAAATAAACCTCTTAAAAAACTACCAAAACCTCGACCTTTTTGGTAAACAGCGCTTTTATAAATGGATCCTACACCTGAACCGGCCTGACCTATGTAGTAATCGTGGTAATGACAGGTCATTATAATATTCTTTTAAAATGAAGTTTCACGCACACAGTCCCAAACTGAAATGGCGTGCGCTCTCCAGTAGCTGTCCTTATATCAATTTCGATATGTTCAAATTCTCTTTTTAGCACAGGAGTATAATGAGGCTGCGAAAAGAACTGTACTCGATGCGTGCCATACGTATACTTGTTGTTATCCACTACGACAATTCGCAAAACTTTTGCAAAAACATCACCAATCAGTTGAGGTTCTATAATATCACTGTATATAAACAGTTGCGATGGTAAACCCAATAATATATTACTAGGGTATGTAGAGATTTTATTCAGAATGTTAACACCGGGCTCGAACCCCAATTGTAAACTTAGTTTCGACGATAACCTTAAAGAAGTCATCTCCGTGCTAAAGCTCGCTACATGTATACGTTTACTACCATTGTTTAGTCGAAATTCAACACAATCTTTTTGCAAAATATTAACCTCATTTAGCGCCTTTAAGATTCCCTCTACTGACTCGTAGTTACCCGCATCTATCTTAGGGCCGGTTTATCAATGCGCAGTTAAGTTAAAGTAACTGGCAGTCAAGGTTAATTTATAAAGGAGAAGGTTGGAGTATAAGCGAGCATTTAGGCAATTCGGTTTACAGGGGTGAGGGGCAGCAAAGCACGTTGTGACGTCAGCGCATCAGCTGTCAGCTGTCGTGTGTCGAACTTGTTGAAGTGTTCGACATTTGACAGGATTATTATAATAAGAGTAATTTAATTATTCATAGAGTTTCTGCTTAGAGTAATTATTAATTATGCCGGGGCACTATTGTGCAGTGCACAGCTGTAATAACAAAAGCAAGGTAAATATTTACAATAATAATTTGCAATACATATAGAAATTGAACTAACTATAAGGAATTAAGGGCATGGATAAAGAAAATTCTGCATCAATCTCATTCCACTTGTTTCCTAAAGACAAGACAGTAAGGGATATTTGGGAAAAATTTTGTCAGCGAGGCAAAAATTGGAAACCAAAATGTTCTTCCACAATTTGTTCAGCACATTTTTCTGCAGATGATTTCTACATAAAATACAAAAAAGAGATGTACAGCCAAATTCCACATAAAATGAGACTTAAACCAGGAGGTGAGTGATAAATTTTATTGAACCTGCCATTTAATAAATTCTAAAAAATTGTAGCAATACCTGAAAAATATGTTCTGACTGAAAAGTGTCGTGACAGTACACAAGTTGGCATCTTTGAACAAAATGGTTGTTTGGCAAATGAAGATCAACTTGGTATCTTTGAACAGAATGGTTCAATGGAAGACGAAGATAAAGCTAAGTTGCAAAAAAAGGTAGCAGAATTGGAAGAGAACATTTCACAGTTAAATGGCTCTAATAATAATTTGGTCCAAACTATACAAGAGCAAGACCAATACATTACAAAGCTGGAAAAAAAAATTTCTGTGTTGGAAAATGAAATACAGACACTGCAGGTGTTGAATAAGCAAGTAAATGTTGTTGAACTTGCAAAGAAATTTGCTCCTGTTTTAACTGAAAATCAATTTAATTTTAAAAAAGAAGTTAAGAGTGACCTGGACAAAAGAAGAAATAGCAAGAGCATTTACTTTACGGTATTTCAGCAAGAAAGCATACTGTTTTATGAGAAATGAAGGCTATGCTTTACCAAATTTAAAGACTTTGCAATATTATGCCAGAAAAATTAATCTGAGAAATGGGATATTGCACGATATTTTAAACTTAATGAATGTCATGGGGAAAGACCAGAAACAGAAAAGGCCACTGTCATAATGTATGATGAAATGAAGGTAAAGGCCTTATATGAATATGATGTAAAGTTCGATGAAATCAAAGGCCCACATAATTATGTACAAGTCGTAATTGCTAGAGGGCTCTATAGTAATTGGA